TGTATTGGGCATTTTACCTCATAATATCAACCCACCACCAGGAAAACACAGAAAATCCAATATCCAACACAACAATATCCAATATATGGAAAGCAGTAAAATGTAATGCGAACATGTATATAGATAAACATATGTACAAATGGAAGTTAAAAATAAATAAACATATGTACAAATGAACAAGCTATAAAGATGAAAATAAATAAACATTCAAAGACACAATAAACAAAACTAGGACTGACTCACTTACGTTTTCCCCAGTGAAGTCGCCATCTGAGGCAACTAAGAAGAATATCAATGAAGTCTCCATCAAATGTTATTTATCCCAAGAAAGAGAAAGGAAAACATCGAGTAAACTTGAGAGAAAACAAGGTCTAATGACCAAGAGAAGGTTCGGGGAGTCAATTATGTAAGGGGAAGGTATTAGTACCCCCCACACCCGTGGTACTCCACAGAATCCACTCTTGTTGTTAAAATCAAAGGGTAGGTCTATCTAAACTTATAAGCTAAAGGAATGCATGAATGAAAAAGAAAAATACAGGGAAAATAAAGGTTTTAAATAGTTGTTCTCACTTAGGCCCAACAACCTAATGCCTACTTATCCTTTTTAAGGAATCAGAGTGTCGTAGTTTGACTTAAAATTTTTGTTTGTTTATGTTTTTATGGGTAACAACCATTTATGAAATGTTTTCAACAGAAAATCTAACCCTCTTATATAGCCTCTAGATGAAAAGAGTCGTTGTAAGGATATAAAAGTCTTTTCTCCTTCCAACGGTTGATTCCCAATGGATATATTCAAGAGAGGTTTGGAACAGTACGAAACATCACTTTCTTATACTTGCTACTTACAGTAATAACATACATCAGTGGGATAACAACTACCATGAATATTACTGTTATTGTACTCTTTTCTTCTTGACTAAGTTTCTTGATCTTGATCTTCTAATGATGTACTTATGATTCTGAAGTAGTAAGCTTGGAAGAGATCAATCACTTGTATTCGTTCTTATGATGACTGATTGATGAGTAATTCAAAAACTACTTTAATGTTATAGTGCAAGAACACTAGAGTGTTAAAACCAAATCTTGTCTTCAGAATTATGGGCAACAGCCTATCCAAAACACAAAGCTTTTCTTCTGATCCAGAACTAATCTTGAAGGCATATTTCTTTTCTGATATGAGAGATAAAGATTATGTTGAGAAGATGTTTTTACTTCAGTTACTTTCAATAGTAGATCCTTGTTTTCAGAGTGATCGACAATAACCTATCTGAATAAAACAAGTCTTGATTGTATGTGAAAGCTTTTCTAATGAAGATATCAAAAGCTTTTCTGATGATAGACATTAAAATCAGATATTATGACAACAGTCTATCTGATTCTCAAGTCTTTGAATTCTTAAGCTTTGATTCTTTTCTTCTTGCTAGATTGTTTCTGATTGAGGAGTGATAATGATCCAGAAGATTCTTATTTTTTGTAGAGTCATGATCTTGTAGATATTTGAACATTGTCTTCAGATATACAAGCAACAACTTATCTAATGAAAAATTTCTTAAGTTAAAGCTCTTCTGATCTACTATATCTTGATCTTGTCTTGATACCTTGATTATCAACTTTTCTAAGATGTATATCTGATGTCTTATTTGTGAAGCAATAACTTATATCAGTACATCTAATTTGTCGTTGAATATCTTCTTTCTGATCTTGACCTTGTATTGATATTTGTATTGATTCCCTTTTTGATAAACATTCATCATTCCTTAGAACTGTTGATGTTTCTGTAGAAGTGGTCACAATATTTCTCCCGTTGAGTGCAGTGGTATTTCTGATGATATTTATCTTCTAACAGATATACTTCTATTGAATAGATTAGCTTGAGAAGATATCATCCTTTGATCTTATCTTCTGATGGACATTGAGATGTTGATTAGATGCGAGTCCACAAGATCTTTCTATCCTTCTTCTGATGGAATACTTCTGATGTTGAATGAATGTGTGTATTCCATGAATTCTCCGAGTCTTTAGAATCTTGAATTTGTCTTCATAAATATTAGCAGCAACTCCTCTGATGAGCAAATCTTAACTTCTGATATTGGAGTAGAAACTTTCTTCACATGTGTTCAAAATCTCAACTTCGTCTTTAGAATCCAAGCAACAACTCTTCTAATGAATGAATCTTGACTTATGATCTTCTACATTGCAAGCTTGTTTCTTGTGCAGTCTTGATTTTCTGATCTTGTAGCAGCAGCTTATCAAAAACTCTTTCTTCTTGGAAACACATTGAGATTCTTTTCTTGTCGAATACTCAGCATTTCATAAAATTACTGATGTTACATTATAAATAGAACTTAATGGTTCTTCTTCTGAGTGATAATGTGAATATGATGATATCTTGAATAAGACTATCCAGAATTCTAATCATGTATCTTCATACTCAATGAAACCATTAGAACTAAAATTGTTCTTTATAAAATATATGCTTGTTATCATCAAAACACAGAGATTAAATATATATCTAAATCTTGTCCTTACAACTTGGTTATGCAGATCTCATAGCCTTTGCTTTAATCAATTCTTATGAGGTACTTGATTAAGAACCCAGAGACTACAAGGAAGTTGTGAGAAGTCAAAATAAGAAGGAATGAGTGATCAAGAAACCCACAAGAGCTAGACTAGCTTGTTATAAATGTATTTTCAAATTAAAGGAAGGAGTTAAAGGCATTATATCAAAGAGATTCAAGGAAAGACTAGTTGCAAGGGGTTTCACTCAGAGGGAAGGAGTGGATTTCAATGATGTATTATCTCCTATTGTGAAACACAGATCCATTAGAATGCTCCTTTCTATGGCGGCTAGGTTCAACCTAAAACTAGAGCAGTTGGATGTCAAGAATTATTTTCTATATGGTGATCTAGACGGAACAATTTTTATGAATAAACCTGAAGGGTATGAAGAAAAAGGTACGGATAATTATGTGTGCAAACTAAACAGGTTATTATATAGCTTGAAACAATCTTCTAGGCAATAGAATAAGAGATTCGACAAATTTATGTCACGCTTAGGTTTCACAAGGAGCAATTTCAATCATTGTGTTTATTTCCGGATTCCACCTAAAAATTCACTTGTCATCTTATTGCTCTATGTGGATGACATCCTCATAGCAAGCCACCTCGTCGAAGAAGTAATGAGGGTGAAATCAAAGTGGAAAGATTTGTTGACTCTGACTAGGCAGGATGTACGAATACCGAAAAATCTATTTCTATATATGTTTTCACCATATTTGGTACAACAATTAGTTGGAAAGCAACACTTCAAAAAGTTGTAGCCCTATCAACTACTGCAGTTGAGTATATTTCCCTAACTAAAGCTGTAAAAGAAATATTGTACCTTGAAGGGTATGCTAAGGAACTGAAATTTCAAGGTCAAGCAATCACTGTTATATGTGATAGTCAAAGTGTCATATATATGTCCAAGAATTCAGTCTATCATGAGAGAACTAAGCACATTAATGTTAAGCTACATTTCATCAATGAGAAAATCAAAAGAGGAGAAGTCAACGTGATTAAGGTATCAACTGATCACAATGTTGCTGATATGATCATCAAGTCATTGCCAAGCAACAAGTTCTTCATTTGTATGTCGTTGATAAAACTGCATCATGATAGCTAGTTTGTTTCCATGGGGTTTTGGAATTTGTTCCAAGATGAATATTTGTAGCTTTGGAGTAATAAGCTAGTATTGGATCGAAATCAAAACTCGATAGTGGTAGCTTCAGGATTTGACTGTCTGATTCATGCATGTTGTAGTCGAAGTATGTCTATGTGTAATACAACATGCAGTTTAATGATGTAATATATATGCATGTCATGTAGTTATCACTTATCATCATACATTTAATACATATATTAGTAGTCTATAAATAGGTTGCTCTCTCCCACTTTATTAGGAGAGTGGTGTGGTAGTCACACTTGTAATCATTTTACGTTGAAAAAGTGAATAAATAACCGTAACAATCAACTGTGTTTCTCTCCTTTCTTCTTCCCTCTTCTTTTTCTTCTTGAATTGAAATATTTTTGTTTTGATCAAGAAACTCTCTCTTTCTTACGGTTTTACTTTATTCTTGACATCAGTTTATCAACATGAAGCATAACTTTTGTCAAAATATTTGGCTTTCATTCAATGTCAAAAGATATTGGAATTGGAACTTATAATAGTGTTAAGAATGTAAGTCAATGTAAATGAAGTGGTAATGAATTCTATTATGGAAGTTAGTCAATCTTGATTAGTAAGTTAGTTAGTTGATTTTATTTGAAACTAACAATGTGTATATAAATAATCTGTTCTAATCAACAAAAAATAGCAATTCAATGTACTTAAAAGTAGAGACGGTAAAACGGATCCGGTCTATCATACATGTTTGTTTTTCCTACATATTTTTTGGAATGGACTAAAATTTTAGGCCGACATCTTTTAATATTCTATCCCGTATTGATATTTTGTAGACTTCTGCAGATGCGAATATTAACATAATTTTTTACAACTTTTAGACTTTAGTAATGTTGTGCCAACAATCCGTTCCACCGTGTTTTTTGTGAGCTTTCGTGGACATATCTACATAAAGTGCACGTATCTATTTGCCACTCAAAACTGTTTTCTCTAAATTTAAGTGAATACAAGTCAATGTTTTCGGTGTGACTGTGATAGAGAGAATATTCAAGCAAAGAGCCATTTCTCATGACTAAAAATAAAATATTTCTCCAAATTTACATAATCTATATTAATACTTAATTCCATCAGAAATACAAAATGAGTACCTTCAACTTAAAAACAAGAGGCTAATAAACTGCAAACAAATATAATAAATACATCAAACATTTCAACTTGCAAGATTAAATCCAAACTCTTACATACATACTACAAGGGATTGATAATTGATACAAAACAAATCCAATCCTCAAAATCCTAACATAAATGTCCAAAAGCCACATAGTAGAAAGCTAATTAATCAAAGATGAAAAGCACTTGGTTGTGATTTTGTCATCCTTGCTTCACCATAAGACTCATCATTATCCATCCTGCGGTTGTTTCTATAAGCATAATAAGCAACTATGTAAACAATTACAAGAATGATCATAACAATAATGTTGATCACTGAGACTTTTCTCCAACTTTTCTTGAGACTAGCAAGCACACCAGCTTTGCAAGAATCACAACTATAACAAAGCTCTTGTTGGTCATTGTTCCATTTAGTGCAGTCAGGGTTGTTTGCTATTAGTCCTGTTCCTGGCATCCACACTGTTTCATTTTGATACATGAAGGCACAATCTGTTGGAGGTTTGCAGCAACCAGACTGCACATAAAAATGAGAATGTTATTGCCCTACATCACATGACATACTTCCTCTGTCCCAAATATAAGAGAAATTTACTTTTTAGATTCATTGAATAATTATTATATCTGGTGTACATATAAACCAAATACATTAATTATTCAATAAATCTAAAAAGTGAATTTCTCTTATAATTTAGGACAGAGGGAGTAGTATATTCTTGAAAAATAAATAAAGTTGTTTCAACTAAGATTTGTAGTAAACATATTCTATAATGTAATTTGCTTCCAGAAAGCACCGTCTTAAGTTTTTGAAAGTCTTGTATAAATTAATCATAGTATAAGTATAACGATAACGAACTAATTAGAGATTCTATTTAACTATATTTTAAAATCATAAATATTTTATTAGATCCTACAATGTAACTGTCACAAATTTTAGATTTTGTATGGTTTCAAAACGTTCCATTAAAAAAAATGCTTTTGTGTTTGTTTTTATTATGTGTCGTGTTTCTATGAAACTACAATTGGTACGTAGAAAAATGTTATGGTGTTCCATCAAAATCGTCCTTGTTTTGTAGCATGGATGAATTGCCGACATGACCTACCACATGGGACATGACACCAACAAGTTTATAAGATAAGAACACTGTCAATTTATATAAAATATGAAGAAAAACTTGGCGTTATTATGACAAGTCAGGGCATTAATCATAAAACAATTGATGAAAACTTAGTACAAATTTTTATACAAACAAAAATATTTGTTTTACTATTTGTCCATTTTATCAAAGAGTTACCACAATTAAATACCTGATTAAATTATCATTATGTAATCTTAATTATTTTCACTATGAAACTACACAATTTAACACAAACATGTAATTTATTGGTTAGGCAAATCAATTTCACACAAACTATTTATATTCTAGTTCTAGAAGAGCAAAAAGTGTGAGGATATTCTGCACGAATATAATAAATTGTATCCTATGAAAACATAGAACATTCTTACATGAGTTGAGGGAGCTTGTAAAAAGCAGATCGTGACAAACTTTTTAGGTTAGATATACGCATCATGTTTGCCACTTCAAAAAGCATAAAGGTGGGTGTAAATTAAAAGAGGCCAAACAATAAACCAAAAGTGTAAAATATATTTATACAAATCCTAAAATGATATAAGGGTCAATTTAAGATTCTTAGGAATAAAGTTATAATAATGGAAACATGGACAAAGAGAGGTATATTTGGATTGGTGGAATTGATTTTTATAAAATTGAATTTAGTAGAATTGATTTATGTTTGTATATATTTATGTAAAAGTGAATTGAACAATAAATTTCAGTGTAAAAATCACTCAAAATCAATTTTACAGACAAAAATTATAAATTTTAGCTTCTAATAAAATTAATTTTAAAAGCAGAATTAATTCTACTTTTGATAAAATAAACACTTCAAAATCATCCAGAATCACTCAAACGCTTTTAAAATTAATTTTGAGTCTTCTAAAAGACAATTCAAACATACTAAAAACAATTATCGATTTAAACATACACTCTCTCCATTCTAGAATGAGTAACTACATATTAAAAAAAAAAATTATGCTAACGGCTGTCCCAGAAACACTCTTTAAAAATTTCAAATATAAAAAAAAAATATTGTATTAAATATAAGTCTTTTAAAAAAAAACATGCTTTTTATTTTTTTTAAAAGTTCATTATTTTAATTTTTTATACATTAAATACAAGTACTTTAAAAAAAACATGCCTTATTAAAACTCTTAACGAACATTCTAGAGTATTGGTTAGCATTTTTCTAATATATATATGAAAAATAGAAAATATTATTTTTACTAAAGTTGTTGAGAATGATTCAAGTAACATCAATTAAGGAATTAATTAGAGATTAGAATTAGAAAAGTAATTGATATTACATTAGAAATTAAAAGATGATCATTCATTTTAAGATATTGGAAATTAAAAAATGGTTTAAGACATTTTATAATAGGATGGCAATTTGACCAATCGCTAGTGGATATTCATAAAAAAAATTATAATAAATAAGATAAAATTCCACATAAATAGATATGAACACGGATTCGACTAATTACTCACTTAAATAAGTGAGTATTGATGTAGAGATGAATACTTAATATCCATCTCATACTTGTACAATATATATATATATATATATATATATATATATATATATATATATATATATATATATATATATATATATATATATATATATATATATATATATATATATATATATATATATATATATATATATATATATATATATATATATATATATATATATATATATATATATATATATATATATACTTTAATTTATATTATTATATTAAAATAAATATCTATCGATTTCTAAAAATATATCGATGTTAAACCGTTATATATGTTACAAAAATATTTGTTTATTTCATAATTCAACAATAAATATTTTAGAAATATTTAAATGTTTTTAAAAACTTAAAATGATATGATTATTTATAATCGATATATTTATTTCTTATTAGAAATGTGAATAATAAATATAGATATGTGTATTTATATATTCAGAGAACACGGATATGAGTGTTAAAATTATTATTTAAAAAAATATGGATTTAAATACTAAGATTTTTTTCATCTATAAATATGAGAAAGAATACCATAGTACCTACTTATATCCATTGTATAATAGAAAGAGTAATAAAAATAGATATAAACGTGAACATAAAATTTCAAATCACATTTTAAAAATTACATACAACTGCATCTTTTTATATACCAACAACTTCTTCTTTCAAATTAAAGTGATTTTACTATATTAAGTAATAGAAATAAATATTTGCAATCATAGTTATGTTTAATTATTCAATCCCATAACAATACATAAATGTGGCCACTGTCCCCTACGGTCCTACCACGATCCATTATTTTCTATGTGTCGCAACACCATTTCCATAAAATCTTATACCATCGTCACAATACCACTCATTTTTTTCCCTATGATGCAAACTATCGACAAATATATAAAAAATTCCAAACTAGACATATCACACATTCATATTATGATGACACCTTTCCCATCTAACAGTTGATGCCACCTTAATATCAATTAGCCGGAAAGTCTATCAAACAAACCTACATTATTATTATACCATTTTTTTTGTATTTTATTTTATCCTACATTAACATGGGGCTACAATAAACTAAAGAAAGATCACCACAAGTTTCGGAAACTAATGAGTCAAACCCATCATACCCACATGCTACAGCTGCAGGGTTCCATACAGAAAAGAAATCTATCCTAGAAGTCAGATCTACCAGTTTAATAATACAAAATGTTTCCAAGATCATGACCCATACCTTTTCTTTAAAATCACTACTAGTAATAAATTTATCTCAATTTAATCTGATTAAATCAGTTTAGTTGATAATAGAGTAATTCAAATGATTAAATGCAAAATTGATTAGTAATAACAAATTTATTTTAACTGTGTTTTATCTTGTTAAGTCAGTTCAGTTGATAGCAAAATAGCTCAGTTGATCAGAGCATGTGGCGTACTAAAAAAAGAGTAACATTGGAAACATACCTGAACAGGAGTGAGTTTTCTTTGGAAGAACATATCAGCAGTCTCAGGCTGATCATTAAAATTCCTAGCTAATTTCCTACAAACTTTAGAATCCCTTATACAAGAACTAATCTTCCCCCAATACCCATCAGTTGCCACACGTTCCTCCAACCAGCCAGAATAATCTTCAAGATAATAATCCAAATAGCCTTTATTCACAAGACTTCTTCCAGACCCTTTATCCGTTACAACATAGGCAAAGATTATAAACCCGATGAGCACGGCGATGACGCAGAACATAACAACAAGGTAAAGTCGTAGGAGGAAGGTGTTTCTGTAACACGCGCCGGCGAAACCTGCTAATGAAACGACCATGATGCTTATGCCGATAATGATTAATGGCCACTGGAGGAATTTGAGACAGTCGGTGTTGTTTGCTCGGCTGCTTAGCCAGATTCCACCGCCGAGGATTGGGATTGAGAGGAGGAAGGTTAGGAAGTTTAGTACGCCGATTAAGTGGTTGCTTGTTCTCATCTTTTTGTTCTGTTTGCTTTCGTTTTGTTGTTTGTGATGTGATCAAGAGTTGCTGTGTTTTTGTATTTATTTTTAATGGTTACTTCATTTAGGGTCTTCGTGAACGCGTAGGGAGTTTTCTGTCTTTTTTATTGTTAGGAAATTACTCAAATAACCTTGTTTTTTGTTTTCAATTGATGTCACTTGGGGCGGGGTTTGCTAGTAGAAAAGAAAATTGCACTGTAAATGATGAGTAACAAACATTATGGCTATTTGTGGTGTGGTTTGAATGGTTTTGACGTTAAAAATTATTTGAAGTACAAGAGAAAAAATGTGTGATTTAATTTAATTTGATTAACTTTTAGAAAAAAACTAAACCAACGTGGTTTCGTTTGAGTCAATTATTTCATTTTTTATAAATATTTTATTAAATTATACATATGTATATAGATGACAACATAATTTTGTATTTATTTATTCATTCACACTATTAAATAGCAACAAAACTCATCATATTTGGACAATAATTTTTTATTTAATATGTAAAGATTAGATTAGACAAAAATGAAATGATAAACATAAAATAACATAAAAAATATTATAAAAAATCTAAAAAATAAAAGAGATAAGATATTAGTGATGATGAAAAAGAAAGTATCTAAAAGAGGATAGATTATAAAATAAGATGTGCGATAAAAACGAAATTGAAAGAGAGAATATTTACATAAAAATTAGAAGTGAAAAATAAATAATATAAGAGAGTAGAAATTAGAGAAGAAGAGACAAGATGTATGTGGAGAAGAAGAGACAAGATGTATGTGGAGAAGAAGACAAAATGTATGAATTGAAACCATAAGTGTAAAAATAAAAAATTGTTCGTAATCATAAGGGTAAAATATAATAGGTTTCGGTTTGGTTGGATGTAAGTTAAATAAAATTTAGGTTATAACATAATGTAATTTGATTCGATTTGGGTCGGTTTACAAAATACAAATTGTAAACCGAACATAATTGTGTAATTTTATTAAAAAATGACTCAAACACATCTGAATCAAATACAATTTTTTATAATTTCAATTTGATTTAGTTTGATTTATGATTTACTATTAAGTTGATTCAGTTTTAAACACTCCTAAATAAAAGAGTGGTTAATTATCATCTTTTTAAATTGTCAATTGCTAAGAATTTAGGTCGTTACTAGTGAATTGAATAGGTACTAACTTTCTCTCAACTTTAATCTCTTTTCACTCTTCCGTTTTAGGAGGAATTTTTGATTTTTTTTTTTAATTCGAAATTACTCCTCAATATTGTTTTTATTATTTATTTATTTATTTAAATTAGTGATTATTCATATATATTTACTTTTTTTATTGTATTTTTAAGTTTTTGTCGTTTTGTGTAAATTTTATTGATTTTTTCGTTTTAATACGGTGTTCGTTAATTAAGATTGACATATTCACTTCAATTCATTACAGATCTGATAAATATTTGAGCATTAATGTTTTAAATCTGAAAATATGAATATTTCAGTTACTTTTATTTTATCATATTTTTAAACATTTTTATATTATTATTGTATATTATTAGCCTAAATACTACAAAATTATTTGTAAATTCACCTTTTTTAATTTTTAACAATTTTGAATTTGAAATGATTTATATATTTTTCAATTTAAATTAATGAATATTTTTTAATAAAAAAACTATAATATTTTTAATTTGATTTCTAGTTGATATTTTTTTAAAAGTACATAAACTTTGATGACCTGTGTTAAGTGAAGAAGCAAAACATTAATGTTATCTTTCCTTTACACCATATATATTAGGTGTTATTTTTGTACCAGGTCTATTAAAAGACCTTTAGTTCAATTAAGAAATAAATTGATATTGAACATAAGGAAGAAAAAAAACTAGAAAGTTGACATTTTTTATCCCTTCAATTCCTTATTCCAATTTTAATCCATAAACAAATCACCTTCAATTTCTTATTCCAATTTTAACCGATAAATCAATCACTTTCAAGATGCTATCTGCAATTCAGCACAATGGTTCTTGAACTCAAGGTCTCTCCTTGGATAGAAGTCTGTTTTCTGCTCAAGTCTCATTTCAGCAGCGTTGCTTGAGTCAATATTGCTAGTGGTTATATATATTTTTTGCTTATTCAAAAAAAAAAACTTTCAACCCAAAAAAATGATAGCGTTAGATTAGGACTTAAGCAAAATTGAAGAAAAAAAAAGAGTTAAAGTGAGATATATAATGAAAAATATCTAATGTAGCGCCAAACAAAAGGGAATTTTTAATTCAAGTACCCTTAAAATGAAAAAAAATCTTATTCTCATCATTATGATTCTTTGAAATAATTAATATTTTCACTCCTTACAATGTACATGACAAATTATAGATAAATATTATGAGTGAGATTCTTTTTTTATTTTTATTAATTAAATAGTTGAAATGTATAAAATTAATGGTGGAATAATTAATATTAAACATTAATTAATATATTAAATAATATTTATTGAAAATAGAAAAGAAAATAATGTGATTAAAAATGATTTAAGCGAGATTTTACTCAAAATTTGACACTTAAGTGTATATTCTGTTTTAATATATTAAGAATATTCAGATTCATGATAAAAATTGAATTTCTTAGTAATGTTTACTGTGTTTATTTAATTAAAATTTTATAAAAAAAATAAATAAATAAAAAATATGAGTTGTAGTGTGGAGTTGTAGTTGATTAAAGTTTATTTCGTGAAAATGTTGGATTCTCATTCTTTAAATCTTGAAGCAAAAAGAGAAGAGTCATGTGTAAATTAAATTCCTGAAAATAAAATATGTCATGGAATATTCTTTTTTTAAAAAATCAAACATAAAAATATTACATTTCCCATGATCATATTTCCAAAAATATTTTTTACAACTTTAAAACAAACTTCCTCAGAGTAAATCTCCACTTCTAAATTTAAAAATCATGTTTATTATTAAAGATGAAGGGTATTGTTCTCCTTTGGCCTTCCTCCATTCAATTTAATAATGATTTATAAAAAAATAATACCATATTTATTTTTTATTTTCCTTTTAAAGTAATTTTTAATTAATATTTTAATATTTAAATAATAATAAATGATAAGAAAATGAATTTAAAAATAAGAACAATAATAATAAAAGAAGTTGTATTGTTCCTTTGTGATATCTTTTCAACTTTCTATGATGATAATGATGATATTGTTCCTTTGTGATATCTTTCCAACTTTCTTTGATGATGAAGTTCATTCTTAAAGTTATCTCAAGTCTTATCAGGATAAAGACTCGAGTTTCCATTAAATTTTTAAAGTCAAAGTTAACGTGAGAAGTAGCTAGTTGGTTACTAACTTAAATACTCCTTTATGCATGAAGTTTACACAAGATAATTGATTAATACATTAAGGTTAGTCTATTATCTCTTTCGTAATACTTCATAATTAATTATTAGGACTTATAATCGATTAGTGATGACACCACTTAAAAACCTACCATGTATAAGCTACATAATTGATTATGTGATGTGCATCATCAATTATGGGCTTTAAAAGATCCATGGATTCTTTCCATTTTTGAACCTATTTTCTACTATAAAAGGAGGGTGTCTCCTCACTTTTATACACACCAGATTTTGAATTTCAATCATTATTTCTCCCCCCCCCCCCCCCTCTCTCTCTCTCTCTCTCTCTCTCTCTCTTATTTTCTTACACTAAAAGTTATCTTAGTGTCTTTGTGAATGAAATACACTTTTGAAGTTTTAGTTGGACTAATGTTCAACTATCTTATTAAGAGTGCAATTCTCTTGAAGTACTTATCTTGGTTGGTTGTTGAGGTTATCTTAGTAAAACCTCTATTTGGTTTTCGAGATCAACTAGACAAAATTTTGTTCTTGATCTGTGAGCTTAGCCTGTTAAAAGCTCTCTTTTGGTTTGAGGGGTCGACATGTTAAAATCTCACAATCGCTTGTAAGAAGGTTCTTGGGCATAATCTATTAAAAGCTCAAAGATATTATTTTAGTGAAATTCTTAAGAAAAATTTCTTGAGGTGAGGAGTAGGTCAAGATATAAGTCGAAGCCTTATAAATCCTAATGCAATCTCTCTAAACTCTCTCTCTCTCTTTACTTTCCTTTACATTTGTGTCTTTCCATTTTCCACTGTTTTTTATCTATGCTTTTAACTATACTACACAAGTTTTGTTTTAAGTAATATATTTTTAAATTAATCACGAATTTTGAATATCACAATTCACCCTCCTCCTCTTGTGATTGGACTTACTTGTTCAACAGGCTTAAGAATCGAGTTCATTGACCCAACAAGGCTGGTTTCATGTGGCCCTATCAGTGACCTCCTTTATATGCCCGAGCCCACTTTTCTCTTAGAATATTGTCTACCGATCTTAAATATTGTATTTTTGCTTGACGTACTTCCTCCCGGTAGTATTTGAATATAGATTCATTCAATGCATATCATGTATAGGAAACATAAAACAAAAAACAGAAATTTATTTGTTAAATTCGTAATAGTTATGATAAAAAAGATTGTTACCCATATTAACAACTATTTTGTGAAGTTCTTTGTCTTTGATCATACAAATTAAGTTTTGTGATATGTGTTTAATAAAATACACATATGAAGATAGAGGATATTATTGTCATTTTCAAGGTTATTATAAGCACTCTTTATATATTTATGTTTGTTAAATATCAAATATAGTTTAGGTTGGGGAGTGATGTAACACCCTGATTTAATTAGAATTATTTTTAATTAAATAATTATAATACGGTGTATTCTTATGAATTAATTGGAATTATTTTATTTAATAATTGGATTACAAGATGTATTTATATGAGTTGATGAATTTTATGATGTGTTTATATGTGTTTTGATGAAATTATTGCAAGATTAGAAGTAATGAGAATTGTAGAAGTTAAGGTGTAGGGGGTGTGTGGCTAAAAGTGTAGAGACGTGGGGTGAATGGAGAATATTAGTATCATTAT